CTGATTAGAGCACATTGAAAAAGAAGTCAATCTTAGCGAATTTCGAACACACAGGCTTATTTTTCCAGTTTTTCGGATAGCACAGCCTAACAGCATTCTCAGGATATGAAAATCGTTATATGCCAAAGGTGTTGTTAAAGTTTTATGATGAAAATTGATTCATGATATAAAACATGACCACATAAGTCTCCTTCCACGCCAGCCCATGTAAGATTTCGCATGAATAGTGAGGCTTTTCGGAAAGCATAACCGCAGAGAATTTGAATCACATTTGTTAGAGCCGAACGTATATAGGGGCTATCAAGGAAAGAAAGCCCTTATATGAAGAGAAATTACAATTTCCAGTTTTCTCCTAATCAGGAAACTTTAGAATAGTAAAATTTTCAGCAAGTAATTTGAGTTTGGATGAGGTCATGTGAATTTTTGGGCATCCGCCTATATGCGGACTTTCATGAGAGGTATGTCGTTGCGTAAAAATAATGAGTAAATTTTGGTGTACTTTCACTAAAACGAGCGAACAATCGTACTAGGCGAGTTCGTGTAGAGTATTTAATTGTCGGGCTTGCCTAACTATACTATTCTTACTTATAATGTTTTTATATTATAGCAAATTAATCTATGTTTTCCTTTTGCAACTATAAGCATTAAATGGAATGACTATTTTTATATATATATATATATGAAAAAAAAAAGAATAGATTTGCAGCAATGCAGCTACACTCGAAAGACATCTTCACTTTAGTGGACTCTATGGTCCATAGTGGAAACCGCAAATTTATCTTTACCGGCAAGTTGCGTCTAAAAAATAAAATGTCATTTAATCGATATGCCGACCGTTAGAGAAACACTTGGAGAAACACTTTGAGAGGAGATGTCGAAGGTCAGAGAAACACGTAGAGATTTTGAAAGATATTGATTTTTGCGTTGAATTCTTTTTGAAAATTAATTTACTAAACATCCCCTGCACGCTTCTCTTTACAGTGTTAGTTATAAAGAAATTGGGCAAAAAATTTAAGTAAAAAATGTTGAAAATTACGATTTGAGAAGGACGCGTGCACACTTTAAGTATTGAAATGTGTGTTACAGACAAATTGCTTAATCAATCCTTTATTATGCTTTACAATTAATTTGCAATCTCCGGAGCATAAAAGTGGTCTGCCACCTTTACATATTTTTTCTGATTCTCTTTCCTTGCAATGTTACGCTAAAGTAAGCCGCTTTTGCTGTACATGTCAGTGAGAGAATCGCACTTCGTTTTCCACTTTATATGTTGCAAAATGACAGAGAGAAAATATTAAGATAATTTATAATTGCACAGACACAAGTTTATAATTAAAGTAAAAATCATCTCATCACATACTTTCAATTTCTTGGAAGAGGCACTAATTATAGCTCTTTACCTCATATCCATTCAACTGTTCTACCAATGAAGCTAAGGTAACTAACATAAATTTAAATATAATTGAAGGCTTCCTAAGGACAGATGGTTTTTTATAAGGAAAGTTGGAAGAGACTCATTCTTTTTTGAGGTCAGTTCAGAGAAGAGGAGTATATTGCAAGGTAAGCTTTTCCTCTCAGACGATGCTCTTATACTTCATAGATAGAGAAGATTCATAGATTAAGGGATTGTGCTGTCACGTACGTTTTAATTTACGTAGTCATCAGCTTACCATTAATAAAGCAACGACTGTGCTGTTCTTTATTAAACGATGATCGAGGGATCTTGATGATCCATATATTACAAGCATGATTGTGGTGTGATCAATATTGAATATGCGACATTCGTCGCGTGGTTTTTTTTCCAACAGAATTTACGTGGATTCAGTAGAATTAATTCGGAAGCAATTCCTGCTCGTTATTCTTAGGAATGTTGCTGTTAGCCCGTCCTTCAATTGGAAAGCGACGGCTTCCCTCCTAGTTAAGTTAGTAATTGTCATTATTGACTCGTCGGCTTTATGATTTCTTGCTCTAAAAATTCGATCTTCATAAGGCTACACTAATTGAGATATAACGATGAGCTTTTCAATTTCTCAATATCGGACTCGTTAAAGAATATGAAATTATTTCTCCTTAATATTTGCGATCTACTGATGTCCTAATTAGCAATTTCCTGGATATCTCATCAAGCGCTTGCGTAGAATAGAACAGATTGATGTTCTACGACAAGCTGATCCTATGATTATCACATAATCGATAAGTTTCAATCATAGGCAAACTTTCCGCGTAATATGCTCTTCACTCAAGCATTTTTCAAACGAAAATATTACGATATGGAGAAGCAGTCGTTTACTCTTCGCAACGCCTAATACGGCTAAGGGTGGTTAGCATATGTGACCGCAACAGAAAGAAAGAAAATTTGAAAAAAACTTTTAAGGATTTGCTGATAAGTTTGCTTTGTTAAAAAGATCGGAACGTGAGCGCACAATAAGGGTATGTGCGTAATTTTTATTTAGATGCGAAACTTTCGACTGCACGAAATCCTGAATATTGTCTTAGTTAGTCGAATAATAACACGTGAGTGTTAAGCGTGAATTTTAAATTTCGTATATGTGCTGTTCCTTTACACTGCGTTTTTTTTTTTTTTTTTTTCAATTCCTTATTAAAGAATTCGGATCACAACAACGAATGTTGTAGCGTGAATGAGTAAACTTTCGCGCGGCCACGTACTCTTAAATAATTATGTTTAATAAATCAAATATTTTCAACGAATTTAAAATTTGACTACGCCTACAATCGATCTTCTATGCGAATCAAAACAAAAAAAAACAAAAAGGAAAAATTGAAAACACGCGATGTCCTATCGCCCTTCAGCAATGATCTTGTTTAAGTCTAGGCGATCTCTTGAAATATTGAACAAATATCACGGAATTGCCGTACAATGGAGAAGGCGCAGCCTAAGCAGCCGTGCATTTTGTCGTGTTTATTTCCAAAATCATGTAACGATTTGTTTGCCTTTATCATTCAAGATGGTTTCAGAACTAATTTTCCGAATTCATCCAATAACTTGTTACATGTCTGTCCAGTCTCACTTTTCTAATGCAATTTTAAATGCTGTAGACTTAAAACCAGAATCGTATGCTGATCATTTATATATACTGATATACTGAGTTACTATTGTTTACTTTACCTTATATGTCTATATTGATGGAGGGAATTGTGAAACAATGTTTTACAATATTAAATCGGCTTTGAGACTATATATAAAAAGTACTATATGCTTATGTTGCATATATTTTTATACATTTTGTTTTATTGCAAATATATATATAAATAATAATAGTAATAATAATAATAACAATAACAATAATAATAATAATAATAATAATAATAATAATAATAATAATAATATGAAATAAAAAAAGTAAATGAAATGTTATCACATCTTATTTTTACAGTTGATGATAACGGTGCCACAAACAACACGTTCCAACGAGATTAAAAATATTTTAACTTGGACATAAAATAGTAAATTTTATGAAACAAAAAAAAAAAAAAAAAAACAAAAAAGGAATAAAAGAAAAAAAGATATAATAATGCAGGATTTATGTATGCGTGCGCTTTCATTATTGTCACAATAAAAAGCCCTCACATACATACACACTTAGATATATAAATAAATAACAATAAAAAGAAAAACGAAAGCCACAAATTGTTCACACACAATGCATGAGAACGCCGAGGACGAAAATGAGATATAAAGATAATGGCAACAACTACACCTAGAAAGAAAGAGACAAAAAAAAATTTATAAAAAAAGAAAAAAAAAAAAATCTGCAACAACATGTTTAAAAAACATAGTCAGCGAAATATATTTGAAAAGAGCTAAAATGAAATGGAACTGAATATACGGACAACGCAATTCAATTCAATTTAATTTGAACGCAGCACGAACAACATGTGCACAGAAAAACGAAGCGACAGAGAGGTGTCAAAATGTATGAAATATAATTTACTACTAAAGTGAACGAAAGCGAACAACTCAGTAAAGATATTTATAAATAGAAAAACAAAACAACAACAAAAAAAAAAAAACAAAAACAAAAAACATTGCGAGAGAACAGCAAACAGTTTATAATGATAAAAATAAGACTAACTGGTCACTAGTGAACAATTGTCAGGATAAGAACACAAAAAAAAAAAAAACAAAAACAAAAAACAACACAAAAAAAAAACATTAAAAATAAAACAAAAAAATCTTTCTCACACAAGCGTAAATATACACACAGAAATCCTTACAATTCCATTGAGAGCAAAACAATTTCATATTTATTTACGCTTTACACATTTTAAAGGCAACTGCAACAATAGTCGGATTGCCAGCAGTGCCTGCTTGTCAATGCACACAATCACTTATATATTGCGTGTGTGAATTTGTTTTATGCATTGTGTCACATCCCGTATTATAGGCAAGAAAAACGTTGTGTTGTTGTATTATATAAACATCGAGTTAACAACATTTGTTGCAATCAATAAATAGAAAAATAATAGAATATCTAAGAGTAACTATGAAAGACACACGCACGTTTACACGTACCGATAGTTAACAAAGAGTAGAACAAAAAGAGAAAAGAAGCAAAAGAAGAATAAACAGAATTATAATAAGATTGAAAACAAGGAGATCAACATTTGTTTTTCATCGAACAGTCACACGGTGGGCTAAAAGGGAAGTGTGCATTTGTACACAAGAAAATAAGAAAGAAGAAGAATTATACGGACAAAATATTTATTAACTTAGTATCGAGCGTCTGCCTGCCTATCTATCTATCTATCTACGCCATCTGTGCTTATTACGCTCTATCAGTCTCAGAACATTTAACAACAACAATAAAAATAACAACAACAGCAGCAACAACTACATATTGCAAAGCATAATCATCAGCACTTGTTATTTCAGTTGTCATCGTCGTCATTATCATCATCATCGTCATCATCATCATCATCATCATCATCATTGTCATCATCCTTATTATTATTATTATTATTATTATTATTATTGGCAGCACTTATACTATTTTGCTGTTGTTATTGTCAGCAAGTAAGCGTAACAACTCCTCTATCTATCTCGTCGTGTTGCCTCTTGTATTCACCGGCAAACTTTATAATATAACTACAAAGATAATCAAAATAGATTTCTATATAAATACGTTTCGACACCCGTGCTTGTCCATTCCCAGTCTGCACCTATATGCTCGTATGTATACCATCAATAATAATTTTGTTGTTTCACAATATGTTACTACTACGTATTTTATGCTCTTACATGCTCACAGGTACTGAACATTAGTAACCGGCCTTTTGTTGTCACTTTTGCTGCCGCCACTGCTGCTCCTGTTGCCGTTGTCATTGCTACTGCTACTACTGTTTTTGTCGGGTTAGCGTTCGCAGTATAGTTTACGCTTGAATGACCTCAGGATTCGGATGTGCGAATGTTAACAATATGAAAATAAATTGTATAGCAATTTACTTGACAGGTAAGTTACGCACATATATTGTGGCGCGAAGAACGAAATAAACATAAAGGGAAAGGGAAAGACAGAGAGAGAATAATAATAATAATAAAAGTAAAATAAAAATATTTCTTGCATTGTTCTGCAGGTAGAAGAATACTGATTTTTTAAAGTTCACGGGAACACAAGCTTGCATTTGAAAGCTTGAGCTCTTACAAGTTAATGCTGATCTAAAGCAAATCATTTCTCTAGTACTAGAACTGTCTGTTAGACATTTCGTTCACATGCCGCGTTACGGCCGCTCCCCATTTCTAATTTCAATAGTTTAAGCTTTCATTTAAATTGAACTTTCAAGCCCTTCGGGCTCTCAAATTTCCCAAATTGTATTTTATTGTAAATGTTTAATGGATTTCTTGGATTTCTACCAATCGTATAATTATTTTACGTAGTTATGAATTTTCGTATTTTTTCTTTTCCACTTCGCAGTCACTCTAGCGCTTCAATTCGGTTTGATGCTTATTTTATATGTGCCCGCAGTATTAGCTGATGATTGGTCACAAAGTTGTGCCTCGAATTGTACCTGTAAATGGACCAACGGTAAAAAATCGGCAATATGCAGTTCGCTACAACTTACTACTATACCTACGACACTCAGTACGGAGCTGCAAGTGCTGGTGCTAAACGACAATCATATACCATATTTGAATCGTGAGGAATTCATCAATTTGGGTCTAATGAATTTGCAACGCATTTATTTAAAGAAATCCGAGGTGCAATATGTGCATAAGGAAGCGTTTAAAGATCTTAAAATACTTGTGGAAATCGATTTATCCGATAATCGCATTGAAACGTTAGACAAGGGTACTTTTATGGGTAATGATCGTTTAAGAATTCTTTATTTGAATGGCAATCCATTGAAGAAGTTAGTGGCGTATCAATTTCCCATTTTGCCACATCTTAGAACTTTGGATATACATGACTGTCTAATATCTTATATTGATGCTATGGCATTAGCAAATTTGAATTTATTGGAATTTTTATATTTGAAAAATAATCTGCTTGAGAGTTTGAGTGAATATGTTTTCCAACACATGACCAATTTAAAGACTTTGGTGTTGGATGAGAATCCATGGCAGTGCAATTGTAAATTAAGAAAATTTCGAACCTGGTATATAAGCAGTAAATTGAATAGTATTACTTTACTATGTAAGGGGCCGCCAGCGCAGAAGGACAAACCCTGGGATCAGGTGAAAGAAGAACTCTACGGCTGTCCACCCAAAGTCGAAATATTTAATAATGAAGATGTTCAGAATATAGAAATTGGAAGCAATACCACATTTAGTTGCCTAGTTTATGGAGATCCTTTGCCCGATGTTTCTTGGGAACTCAACGGCAAGCTACTCGATAACGATAACGTTATTTTTGAAGCGGAAAGTATAGCATCCGATAAATTATGGAGCAATTTAACAGTGTTTAACATGACCAGCCTGGATGCGGGCACCTATGTATGCACGGCTACTAATATCGTAGGAGTGGGTTCTCAAAATATTAGCATCTATCTGACAGAAATTGTGCAGCATGTATTAGTCAAGACCCCAGAGACATTTTGGTATTTTGGCTTGATTATGGGAACGTTTGGAACAGTTTTCTTACTGATATTAATCTCGTTTGTGGTATGCTTGTGTAAGCGCACCACCCGTCAACGCAGGCATCCGCGAAAGCCAGGTGTTAAACCCAGCGTAAGTTTCAACGATCAGGAAAAGAAATTATTGGATCTAAGCATAACTACTACGACCAATGATAGAGGCGATAGCTGTTTGGACAACAACCATAGCACAACAACAATGAGTAAAACTGAGTCGGTGATAGGTTTTGAGCCCATTGAAATACATTCGGTGGAAAATCATAGATCTGGTGCTCATGGCCATCACGGTATGCTGATGAACACTAGCAATTCTGGTGGCCATCATCAGTTTAATCATCAACAGCAATCACATCACGCACATATGCCACCTACTAGCGGAACAGGAGTCATGGGTATCGCGAATCGGCAACAACAGCAATTAATGGCAACGGCTGATGGTTCATGTAGTGTGGTGGGTATACCCACCTCTTTGGCCTCCGCAGTATCGGTTGCAGGATCTCATCCTAATCAAATACCCGAAGAATTTCCTTTAAATGTCGGCGTCTTTCCACCACCGCCAGAGTTTTGCTCCAACATGGTACCAAATCCAGCATATGGAAATATATTTATAAGTGTTTCGGTTACTCAGGATATGCTAGACGCTGCTGACATTAACATGTATCCGGATTTACTTAATGTATCCAAGCATTTACCTGATATGTCTACGGTGGCTATAAGTCAAGCTGGAACCAATGCCAATAAAAACGTGGAAACATCACTGAATTCTCCGACTTCTCAGGGCAACTCAGCGAGAACAAATTCAAATTTAAGTTCTTATGCTACATTGCCCCGCCATAGCCAAAGACGTGGTATACTAAAGAAGGACTCATCGCTTCAACATCAGCCACATCCGCAACCGCTGCAACAAACCAACTTGTATCCGCATGAAGAAATTGTTTCCTATCACAATTTAGATACCAGTTACAGTCAAGGTTATCAAGAGAGACGAACGAGCGGTGTATTAAGCTTGCCACCACCCCCACCACCGCCCACAATTTTACGCGAAAAATGCCATCACGTACAGCAACAGCAACCAAATGCCACTTCCACCAACCACTGCACCAGTTGTTTGAGTAATGCCCTGCAAGTAAATTCAACTTCTTCTTCTTCAACCCCACCACTGGATGCTACACCCCTACGACCATTAAATAAAACCTTAAGTAATCAAACTTCTTGCCTCAAATACGACAACATGGGTCGACGGATTACAGCCAGCGGTAATTCGGTACTTTCGTTGCCTGACGAAGAACGTCTCGAAAGTGAAACCTTATTTAACGAAGGCTTGCCACTTACCAAAACACCCGCCTCCAAGGCGCAACACGCAAACAAAACACAAGACTGCCAAATAACAACAACAAAAACTCAAGTCAACACTCAAACTATAACAACAACAATACAAAACTGCAAAAATGGAGATAGCGGCGGTGAGTTCGTATCACTCTAGTATTATGGGACCCAGGTGTAAGATGTTAGAAACGAATGATAAAGTAGTTGTGATGATTTAATTATAAAAATAATTTTCTTTGAAGCGAGTCTTTCGATTATTAATGCAAATACGAAATTGAAAATCATTTCATCTTGCGGCAGAAATGCAAAGAAATAATTTTGTGTAAAAATATTAAAAAATAAAGCAACTAAGAGATCTTTATTCGCTTTGAAGCGAATCGCAAAAACCCACTACCCAAAGTAACTGAACGCAGCTCATTCAACTTCTTTATTAACTCGGCGATAGTAAACAGTTTTAGAAAAATCAAATTTATTATAATTTATATTACGTCCGTCCGAAAATATAATTATTATTTTCCGATATTGAGGCTTACATAAATAATCATTTCTAGTAAAAACAAGAAATAATGAAATCAGTTTTAATAGAAGGGATAAGTCTACAGTTTGTTTGCCACGATCGTTCGGACCTCTATATACGTGTAGGCAACGCGGCTGTATTCAAATAATTTAAATGAAAAAAAAGTTCTTGAAAATGTCAAGGCATTGATTAATGACTGGTTGCTTTAATTTTCACTACTATGCTATTTCCTGCATTTGAAAATAGTTGCAAACATGTTTGTTTCTTTGTAAGAGCAACTAACGCATTTTTATTATTGCGAGCCTAGCTAAGGCATCATTTCTTAAACATTTCCTCAACGCGAATTTATTTAGATTTATAAATAAAAAGAATTAAAAATGCAAATAACTGTGTATTCGTGTCAAGCAATGACATTTTATAAAAATGTTAATTATATTCGCGGACAAAATAAATGTAATTTTAAAAAACTTTTTGACTTTCTGCGATGCCAATGCAAGACAGATCGAACCATTTGAAAAACTTAAGAGTATCAGTTCAAAAGCATGTACGCTAAAGCCAAACAGATCAATTATTGAATAGAACAAAAAAGAATTAATCCATTTGCAATATAAAGCGATTGCTCAAAAAGTCCTTCAAGTGATAAATACATTTGAATGAGTATCATAAATGGATAGCAAAAAATTTGCTCTACTAAGGTGGTGTGTATATAACGTATAAAATAAAATTAATAGATAAAAAAGGAGAGTTCTTGTAAAAAATTTTCATAATTCATGTTTTAATATAATTTTTCAAATTACACCGTAAGCAGTTCAAATTTGTGTGAATGTAAATATGAAAATGAAAATTTAAAAAAAAAAAATTTAAAATAATATAAAATTATTAATTAAAATTCTTAAAATATTACAGTTTCAGATGTTTTATAATGGATAAAAATACTGTAGATATATATATGTAAATATTTTTATCAACATCGCAAGCATGATTAGATCATAGTTTAGATTAAGCATCATAGTTTTTTAGCTTTTATCATTAACAACTGGTTTTTAAAAATGATTCATTTTAGAGGCTTTTGAAAATAGTAGGAAAAAAAATTAACAAAAAAAAAAAAAAAAAAAAACCCAAAAAAAGAAAAAAATGAAAAAAAAATAAGGAGAAAAAGCAACAAGACGAAGAAGAACAACAACAAAATTTAATTAAAGACTTGTACATACGTTAGATAAGTTTCGAGTACAAATTTCCAGATTAGAAGAGCGTATAATATATATTTAAAAGCATATAATAAATTGATATTTGAGTTAACTCAGTTAGTTTTAATCACAATTCATTCTATCTATCTGTCATTACAAATGAGCTTATAATCATAATATATTAAATATGCTTTACAATCTGTTAGTTTAAAATCTCTACTTTTAATTGTTTTCGCCCATTTAACCCAACTAAAAGTTTTCTTAGCACTTTGTGATAATCGCTCGAAAACGAAATTTCTCAGTCATCTAAGATTATTCAACTAACTATCTCATATATATATATATATATATAAAATAATTCTTGAAAGATTTTATAATAAAATGCTGCAAACTTCATTTCTTCTTCGTACATTATATATATATATATATATATATATATATTGAATGCATGGAATGCTTCGATCGCGGCATTCGCGATGAATTGAGCTATGGGCAATGGATAAACAAAATTCATTCTTACAAGAATAAGATTTATTTGCTTAATTTTTCTTTTTTTTTTTAATTTATTTTAATTATTTATTAATTGAAAAATTTTGTTTCTAATTTTGTTTTGTTGCCGATTATATAAAAAAATCGTCAAGTTGCAAGGTTTATTGCCATTATTATAGTGCAACTCTGATATCTAAAGGGAAAAAATGCGACAAATTACTAATCGAATCCTAACGGGATAGTTGTAAAAACTCAAAATGTGGAAAGTGTATTTTTCAGTGCTCCGATCCGATAAGTAGACCGAGATATTAGACATCTTCGTACAACAAGCTTTTGACCAAATATACAGACCAACGTGCTTCAGACACCCTAAGCGATGCTTATCTGCCTTTCAGCCTTTTATTCGTCCGGCCGTTTCGTTTACGTATTTGCAATATTAGCAGCGTTAAGCGTCCCATGGTAAATATCAATTTTTCATTTTAAAAAATTTTAATCACAAACGAGCTAAGCTACGCAGCTAATATCGTTGTGCTAAGATTTGTGAAAATTGAAATGATCGGCCCTTAAACAAAACTGATAATATCTTAAAGAAAATGTTAAAAGAGATCCAAGACATCCGTAAAGAAAAAAAAAAATAAATAAATAAATAATTAGATAAGGAAAAGCTTTTTTTTAAGGACTGTTTGTCCAACACTCTTTCCATAACGGATATAATTTTTTCACTTCTGTTCACATTATTTAATCAAAAAATGTATAAAAAAATATTTTATAGAAAAGAATGCTAATTATATAGTTTTGTATATTTAATACTATATATCTTAAAAGAGAGAAAAAATAATAATGAAAATAGAAGAAAGATTTCTTGTAAGGCTAATTAAGCCATTTAATAATTTCAAAAACCAATCGTCTAATTATGATAATACATGGTATTGTAATAAGTTAATTAGAGTAAATAGAATTTATGTATCTTAAAAATATTGTAAAAGTCCCATTAAATGCAAAACCTAAATAAAAATCAAATTTAATAAAATACATAAATTAAAGAATGCATATAAAAATACAATAAAAATTTTGTGTCTTTTCTCTCCTATCAAATCAGATACGAAGATTCGAAAGTAAGTGCAAACACTAATTACAGGATACGGATTGAGGCCAACGACGAATGCAATGATTGAATGCATTAAATCCCTCTCTCCATTTTCCCATTTATTTGCACCATCACTATTTTGCTCTCATCTCTTCGTTCTCGCTCAACATGTACTCTCCTACTTAAGATTGAATCCATTGAGTCGTTACATTACGTATTATACGGACATCAATTTACTTCGGAGAAGGTAGTATAAAAAATGTAATTGCGATTGAGCTGTGACTCAGTCTCGTCAAGTCTACCGTCTGCCAGTTTTCGTATTGAGAGAATTAATAAAATCGGAATACAAACGTTCACTTAATTCATTGAGTTGTAACGTAAACACGCTGGCATTCGAGAGCAATTTTCCTATTGTCAATTCGTTGTTAGTCAGAAATAGTAATGCAACAAAGACTCAGAATAATGAAAATTTATTTGTAGGTAAGAAACACGAATTTTTACTACACAAATTTATTAATTTATTTCAGGTCCACCTAACATTCTTTAAGCTTATCAACTTTGTTTAGTCGTTTATCCGCCTGCTTTAAGGGGATCATTGCTCACTTTCTAATAATCAAAAATACACAGGGCACGCACTCCAATATAGAAATATTATTAATATTATTAATTATGGTCCAACTATATCTATATAATATTCAGGACACTTGCAGTCCTACAAATAAATTTTCGATATTGAATTTTTGTCGTTTCACGAAATCTACTTGTTGCGTTCAGTTGGCCCGAAATTTTTAATTTTTAGGCGTTGGCGTTGATAAGATTTAAGTTTCAATTACTTGCAAGCATTCTTGTATCTTGCGTATATCAAAATTTAAAACTATCGATGTTATCTACGGCACTGGATGTTTTTGGCGAGATCTCTGCCAAAACATTGTAGTTTTGAAAACGATGAAAACTCGCATACGTCCGTTCATCGGCATCGTAAACAACCAGGAAAGTGATATTCAACTTGGGCTGGAAATTTGAAACTCTTACGGCCTGTCTCCTTAAGATATTGATCGGTCAAAACTAACACGTCAGCGGTTCACACAAATTGAACATATCCGAAGAAAGCTCGATAAATATTTTGTCTGGAAACCACAAAGTTCCTATCGCGGCGACAAAGTACCCGATAAATGGCAAAAGATCATAGATAATGATGGCAACTACAGCAATTATAACGCTTTCTAACTAGCAAACATTCAATAAATTGGAATTTTAAGAAAAAATACCAAAAATTCATTTGTAGATCAACAGAGAACAAATATGTTAGCCTGTGTCTTCTTCGTACGCTTATAGAAACGGTAACAACTGGAAAAGACGACTAAAATTTCATATAATACATATTGGTCAATAAGTCCCGGACTGTAGAAGTCCCTATTACTTTAAGAAAGTAACAGCACTTAAACGACTCCTATAAAAATGTCATGTCGTTTCGCTCATTTGTTTACTTGTTGCAGCGACTTTTGTGACACTACTTTTTCCATTTCTTAAGCTGCGGAAAAATTCGACTATTATTGGATAGAGTAAAAAACGTTATGTTTTGATGCATTGACTTAAAAAGTGCTATATATGATGCCAAAAAAACAATAACATATCGGTACTTTATTGATTTGAAATGGGACTGGATCAAGGTCAACGATAAGGAGAAGGCATTCAAGATTACATCAGGAGAAATCAAAAAAACACCTGAAAATTATACGCGACAATCGAAAAGTGATGCTACAGAGGGTAGCGGACATCGCTTAAACATATCAAAGGTCAATGCACTCATTATTTCGATCATAAGAAATGAACGTTTACTCACATTGGAACAAATGCAACGTGTCACCATTTGATGGCTGGAACAACAAAATTGGATGAATTGGATGAGTTGAAATGGTTGCGCCATACACAGTATTTTACAGAAGTGGCCAGTAGCGGCTATTATTTTGTATTATCATCTCATCAGGGAAAAAAGCTCGGACCAAACCATGTGGTGACTACGAACACTGCACCGTATTTTAGGTGGCGTTTGTTCGTTTAAAAAAAATGCGTTGATAAATAAAGTTGAATTGGGCGGTCTCCCCTCACTTCACGCCCTAAGTCAACAGAAGAGTCTAGGTTTTTTTATCAATTTTTTGCAGTTTACGCGAATTCAATTTTCCTTCCATTTTTTTTTTTTTTTTTTCTAACTAGATTAGTCCCTCCGTTTACAGCATCTGGAAACTTTTTTATCTTCTTACGACTTTGTTTAGCTGTCGTTTGCTCTTGGCCTATTCACGGGATCACAAATTGAAATAGGACGGTAGCACTTGCTCTAGGCACTCTTAGCTTGTTATGGAAAAATCAAATTTTATGACGATATTAATTCGCCTACAACTACGCCTACAATATACATAAATCTTAGAGATTAAGTAATAGTCGTCTCAAACTCGGTAAAAATATTTCCCAAGCCCGGCTGACGAAAGTAAAAATTATCGCGATCGACTGAGCCAACACGCCTGCACTTGTGAGAGCAATTTTCAATTCAAATATGCATTGAGTTGAAGTGACGTATATAAGAGATTTTAACAACGCTATATAACTAACAGTGTCTTCACAATGCTACTTAAAGAATTTTATATGATTTTCAATTTAAAATAAAGTTCGTCTGTCAAATATTACGTTTAAACAGAAACATTTGCGAATAAATAGCAACTAAAAATGCTTTTAACTAAGCTACAGCTGCTAACGGAATCTTTCCTTAAGCAAATAAACAACAACTATTTGTCCAAAAATACAATATAATAAATGAAACTTTTATAAGGGTACAAAAGTGCACGTCTGTTACAATTACAAGAGAATTATGGCTATGAAGCAAATGTTTTAAAATAAACGAAAATTATTATTGTCCAAAACTCGCCGAAATAGTTCACGTTAGAAGGAACTTATGACAAAAGTTTAAAAAAATAAAAAATAAAAAAAATAAAAATGAATCAACTGAAGCAAGCATTACGGTCGAATTTATAGCTTAGGTCACACCTGAACTTGAGTTTAATATATCAGGTCGATAAGAACACATGTGGAAACGGTAGTTATTGCGAAAGCAACATAGTGCTTGATAAAACTAAGATAATACAAAATGAGTAGCGTGAAATTATTGGTCGATATCAGCAAAAACCACTACGTCATCCGCCATATCATTTATAACTCGGAATAGAATATGCTCATGCTACTTCCTTGCTATTGATTACAGAATATACGAGAGCATGTAGCATATAGCGACTATTGTAGAAAACAGCATTTCAATAATAGATAATCACTACTTATTCTCCT